AGGCCGGTTTACACGACAAGCGTTTTGGGTACGGCACCCCTGAAAATCGGCACCGTGCCAAAACCGCCACTTCGCTATTTACTCGTTTACACGACAACATTTTGTAAACACACTTTTATGATAGGCACCGTGCCCATCGGAAAACGGCACCTCTACTTTCCGTCTATGACGATATATTTTAAAGAATAAATATGTCGGACAGAAACAGAATTATATATTTATATTTATTGGAACGAAGAAGAGTATTATATGAGCCGAAAATCGAGGGGGGAAACCAATTCAATACTAGAAAAGTACTTTAAGGGCCAGCTCATATGGGCAAAAGTTATCCCGGTTAGCGAGAAAACTTTTCGACAAGTTTACAAACGAGATCTTGCCTTGGTATGAAAATAATATGAAAAGTTACACTGCGTTCATATGAGACAAAAAGTTTTCCCGTGTACCGAGATCTCGCTTGTTGAAAAGCCAGATCTCGGTGACCGGGATAATGTTTTTTCCCATATGCAAGAACACAACTTTACCGCTTAGCGGGATAACTTTCTGTCGTATCAGCATCTTTTCAATTCTATTGATATTCAGTGCGTGCCCATCGGAAAACGGCACCTCTATTTTCCGTTTACGACGGTATATTTTAAAGAATAAATATGCCGGCCAGAAATAGAATTATATATTTATATTTATTGGAACGAAGAAGAATATTATATGAGCCGAAAATCGAGGGAAAACCTAATTCAATACTAGGAACGTACTTTAAGGGCCAGTTCATATGGGCAAAAGTTATCCTGGTTTGTGAAAAAACTTTTCGAAAAGTTTACAAGCGAGATCTCGCCTTGGTATGAAAATAATATGAAAAGTTAGTTTACACTGCGTTCATATAAGACAAAACGTTTTCCCGTGTACGTACCGAGATTTCACTTGTCAAGTGATAATGTTTTTCCCATATGAACACAACTCTAGTTCACGCTTGGCAGGATAGCTTTCTGTCGTGTCAGTAACTTTTCAATTCAATTGATATTCAGTGCTATGTCACAGCCGGAAACTTTACCCGGTAAGCGGAATAACGTTTCTCCATGCATGTGAACAGAACAAAAGTATATTTGGCTAGTCGAAAAGTTTTCTCGTTAACCGGGATAACCTTTGCCCATATGAACGACAAAAGGAGTTGTTTTCTCGCATAAATGTTGTGCCATCTTGTATTCACCCGCCACGAATTCGAGAGGTATGGACGCATCGAACGACAGCTACTGCATTTGCTATACGGCCTAGTTACTGCTCTCTTCAGCGACGAACAGTGGTATCAAAATTTCCGAGTCAACTAGAGCAACATTCACACTCTGTGTTAAATTTGTTTTTTAACTTTGTTTTTTTTAATTTTTTGGCAAGTTGTTGTTTTTCGCCGCTTGCTGCCATGTTGGAAAGAGGACAATTTGTATTGCGCATGCTCGATGTCAAACACATTTTTTAGTTTTTTCGAAATTTGGGCACGGCACCCCTTGCTAGACGTGCCGAGACTACCTCGTGAGAAAGTCTCGGCACGTTTAAATTTTGCGGCACCGGTGCCGATTTTTGTCACGTTTACACGCCAAAAGGCAGAGGTGCCGTGCCTAAATTTTTGGGCACGGGTGCCCATTTTTAGGGGTGCCGTGCCCAAAACACTGGTCGTGTAAACCGGCCTTATATGACCGGCAGCCGGTCACGGTTTATCAAATACTAAATGGCCGGCAGTCTAGTGACTATAGTTAAAGTTGAATTTTTATAAGATAAACCTATCCCCAACCCCAAACCCTTTTCTAGCCCTAACCCCTAACCCTAACCTTTTGTGAGTTAGAAAAGTCGGAAAAAAAGTTTAAAAAATTTTAAGAAAAAACAATGCTAAGTCAGACAAAACACATCCCGACCCCGACTGCGTTTAACTTTCCGCACACAACGCCCTTGCCGTATGAGCTAACGGCAAGCTCGGTAAAAGTTAACGCAAACAAAAGTTTTTATATTCAACTATAGTCACTAGACTGCCGGTCATTTAGTATTTGATAAACCGTGACCGGCTGCCGGTCATATAGTCACTTTGATATTTTTAATTCACTGTAGAGTACAAAGCTATAGTATCCTATGGGGGATATGTATTCGCTTGCAAATTTTTCCTTTTTCCCCCACAAAGATTTCACCATGTTTCCTTGTTTTCCCAACTTTATGGTCCCTTGGTTTCTATCATTTTTTGCTTTGAATTCTGATTGCAAAATATGCATTGTTCCCTGGTTTCCTAAAATTCCCTTACAAAAAAAGTCTATAGGCCAACCTATAGGTTCCTATAAGCAATTGGAACATTTTCTTTTGGTAGTTGGATTATAGGCAATTGGAACATTTTCTATAGGTGACCTATAGGGATGCCTATAAAGGCTATAATCCTATATAAGAGCTCTATAGATGCCTAAAGGCTTCTATAGGGAATTGGAACATTTCCTATAGGCCACCTATAGATTTTTTTCATAAGGGATTAACCTCACAATTATTTGGTATTAAGAATTTTAGGACCCGAAGGCAACTGACAATGGCTTCCTCTATGAATTCTATTTCAGAACCATGGAAAACTAGTTTGATATAAATATTATAATATGAAATTAGTTCCTCTATGAACATTGCCAGGTTTTTGCAGCTATGATTACTCAAGTTTTTTGAAGTCACAACTTCGAAAACCAATAGTAAAATGTGTCTTAGACGTAGTACAGGCTTCACATTTGCCATGTGGTAAATGCTTATTATTTAATATTGTAGGTTGGTAGTAGCATGCCAAAACACTTCAGGTGGAAAAGAATCATAGACTGGATATGGTCATGATGATGCCTATAACTGGCCATTTGAAACCGATTGTCTTACATCAAGATCTTGAGTTGGTTTGATGTCGATAAGTGTCAACTATGTCATGTTGTATAAATGAATTCATCAAAGAAACTCTCTTGAGCAATCCAATTGATTCTTACATGTATAGCGATCGAAAAAGGGTCACCATCAACAGATTCAGGACGAATGTAATTACAGGCACTTTATTAATTTGCTGCCTACATGCAACATTATTTCTTTAGCAAGGGGATCTACTGTATATTGATTAATTTAATACAGTCTTTGTTTTTCACCTATCCTTGTCTCATTGTACATGCCAAGCTGCCTCTCTTTGACAAGTAAAATTTGTAGTGTGAGGCAATCAAGTATTATTGCCATACAGGTAGTAATAAGCAGAGCACCTTGCCTGTAATGGGCTAACAAAACAACATAATTCCTACTTTTCAATTTGAAAAATCCAGTGCAAATTCCAGTCCATAAGGCTATAATGCATATGGCTTAATGTGATCTACAGTACTTTGTCAGTTTACTGTGTCTATATACAAGAAAATTTACTTGTCAAGGGGGAAATGTTGGGCATTAATGGAATAATGAGTTAATTTCAGATGAAATTATTAATTCACTTGCATGCAAGATTAGGAAATATCTTGCTTCGTCTGTTACTATAATCAGGATGATACCATATGTAAAGGTACTGTACTGTACTGTACTGTACTGTACTGTACTGTACTGTACTGTACTGTACTGTACATGTACCCTGAACTTCTAGCATTGTGATAGTACTTGTTGTCTTTGACAAATGTATATGAATTCAGTTGTGGACATTTAAATTTGACAGTAACTTAATGTGTCAATGATGCATGGTTTGAAATCAAGTTGTAGAACTTTAATTCTAGAAATACATGGCTAGCTAGTTGGTATGAAATATATTTCACAGAAAACTTTCTCGCCTACTTTTTGGATTAGATGAAGCAATTGACTTAGTATAATTAGACTGATTGCTTGGTTTAGAGTAGGTTTCTCGATACTTCCCCGTTTTACGAGGTAAGTTGCATTAAGTCGTTAGAAAGCGTTCCGTAAACTAACGCTCTCGGAAGATTTTACCTCGTTTTTTAATTATTTCTACGCAATTTTTAATGTTATGAAAACTAAGTGATGTTTTTTCATGGTTTTGGTTTTCATAACATTAAAAATGTGTAAAAATAATTAAAAAGATGAGGAAAAGTCTTCAAGAGTGCCGGTTTAACTCCTGAAATGGAGTTAAAATTATTTAACTCCTTAATAGGGGTTAGATTTTAACTCCAATATGAGAGTTAGATTAACCCCCAAAAGTGGAGTTACATTTTAACCCCAGAAATGGAGTTATTTGTAACCCCAAAAAACGGATTATTTTGAACCTTTTTTGCTAACCCCCGTTTCCGGAGTTATTTTAACTCCCTCAAAATAACAGTGCAGACATAAATATCAACAATTATGGATAAAAGTTCGATCGTTGGGATTATTTAGGATAGGAGGGAAATATGTATGATTGTATGTACGATTGTAGATATGTATGATTGACACTTGTATAGTGTTTGTGCTCATATATAAGTTAAGTTGTATTTCGCTATATAGATTTGATAATATTGAAGATGGATACGGGGCTCTATAGCTTTTGCCATTCGTTGCGCGAAGTCCTTAATTGTTAGCCATTCTCCGGGTGGCATATTGTATAGGGAAAATAGACAGAGAACGAGTGGAATTAGTCAGTGGCGGATTACCCAATAGACTGAGTAGAATGAAGCTTACAGGCCCTGCCTCCAAGAGGCCGTGATTTTCAGATAATGCACTTTCTATTAGGATTATTGTCCTATTTTTTGTCCTTAATTAACCAATGAGATATTGATATAGCGGCTAATCCAAAAACTATTAGTTCCTTTGTTTTCATGATTGTTGACCTTAACCGTAACGCCATGCACCATTTAACTTCCCAATGTTCAGCACTCATGAAGTATTGCCATAATTGGGGGTATTTGTTATTTCCGTTGACTATCTCAAGAATTAAAAATATAGGAACGAGAGGAGCCCAACTGATACAACATACAGACTGAACCTGTATGTAGTACGAGCACGGCATTAAATGATGTGTTGCTGTTTATTTTAATTAAATCAGTCAACTTTAAATTTGTAGGTGACCACGCATTGATGGCCGAAAGCCCCACGTTTTACAGTGCATTTGGTCCATGCATGGATCGCTTTAAAAAAATGCATAAAAAAGGTCAGTTAAGAGCACATGGTCAATTCCACATAATTTTACGTACATGTGAAATAAATGTTCACGTATCAACCATTATAATATGAAAACTCATTTTCAATTGCATTTAATCAAATCTTTTGATTCCACAATTTTCAAAGGGTTTGGTCATGTATAATTAAAAAAAAAGTATATTAATAATTCATGAGGAAAAGACAAAGGAAATTAGTTACTACCGCAATTGTGGTTTTATATGTGATAAAAAAATCATGTTAATTTACGTAAATTGTAGGTTTGATTTTCTCGGTTTAGACAATTTTGTTTTCAAAAAAAATACTTGGCGAATAAACTCATAAGATGCTTGGTCGTTTAATTAAAACATTCGCAGTATGTGCTTTATGCGTTATAAAACACTGGACTGTTGTGAATGTTTATATCTGATAAAGCATCCCTGCTCGTGTTTTAAGTACTACA